TTATCATACATCACTTGCTATCAGAACAGGTGCATTATTCTAACAGAAAAAGAAGGAAAGAAAGAACGTAGAACTCCTTAGCACAAACTTCCAGGCCCCGTTCTCAGCAACACAGTTTTAATATGCTTCAGATTTTTTCATGATAAGCTCTCATGATCGTCCTGTGTCCTTTGAGAAAGCATATCAAAATCACTCCTTTATAATCCCATAAGAACAGTCATTATAACTTCTGAGCTGACCTCTCTTCCTTGAACTCATCTTTGAGGCCTTCAAAACCCCCCTTCAACTCCATCTAAAAACTGTTGTTTTATGAGGGGCAATATTCCTCATAAACATTTTGCAAAGCCTCGATGATATTGAATGACTTTAAGATTATTTGTTAAACAATTTTGCAGTAGCCCTGACCTGAAAATCAACTTTTTGTGTGTGCAAAATATCCCTTTTTGTTGGATAGCATCCTAATGAGATAGGATATTACTTAGAGAATGTGTTTGCTTCCATCCACTGATCAGAGCAACACATTTGAATATGTCGTGTTTGGAATAAAATGATGCAATATTAACTGGAACTCTAGAAACAATACTTTGGGATTTACTCCAATAGGTTAGGTAGACCAACATGACTGACGCCCATACACTAACCTTCCCATCTAAGGTTGAAATTCCTGAAGAAACTAAGTTGACAGGTCTTGACGTTTTTAATTGCTCTCTCAAGTTACCATCCAATCCAAGCACCCTATGTCGGCATGTGTCCTTAATGAGAGTAACAGAACAGGAGAGAATTTAGATGCAATGGCATTGTCGCTGTGTATGTTCAATTGAAATGGGCACATATGGCATAATTCAATTATGAAACAAAGCATCATCGCATATCAATAATACTAACTGGATTTTGTGTAGGGAATCACATTAATTGTCCTGTGCTTCATTTGGTCTAGAAACAAGAGCTAAGTAACTTTGTTTTGATTGCTTCTTGGAAGGTGATTAAAAGTAGATAATCATTTTGTCAGCAAAGCAAGTACACAAACATGATCGAATAAGCCGTGAGTGGTGGATGTGAATTCCATTCCAAATGGGGGCTTCCACTACCAACTCCCTTTGTGTTGCTGCTTTTGTTTGAGCAGCTGTTGATCTGCAAACATATTCAGTGTCAATGTTTATATCAAACATTTAGACACAGTGTGCAGTTTGCATTGTTTTAATCCAATGAGAAAGTTTCCACAGCCATCCGCTTCCACGTCTATTTGTTTTATCACTTGTCCAAAAAATGTTGTCATGAGGTTTTCCCAAATAAGTGTGGCCAAGCCACATATAAAAGAAACCGACCTGAGTGCCTAGGTAAATCACTGCAAATGTATCTTTCTGAAAGGAAACTTGACTTCAGGAATGTTCTCCTGAATGCAGAATCCAAGATCCAGTCACTCTCTCCAAAGGTAGCTTCAACTAATACAGGAACATGAAACATGGTCTATAATTTTCTCCAAAGACAGATATAATTAATATATTTATTCTTCCCAAAATATGCCTTTGGGCAGCAGGGTGATTTTCATGATTGAAGTATTTATTTTCATTGTCTTTTTTTCATCAGCATATGCTATGTGAGCTTTCATTGG